GGGGGGGTGGGTGGAGGGTGTTGGAGGGACCTTCCTCCTGCAGCTTTCCCTTTCTCATCTCCTCTGGGAGGAGTGACCAAGCTAGGTCTGACCAAGTTTGAGGCTAAAATTGGGCAAGGAAATGAACCGAGCATCCGGATGTTCCAGAAACTTCACTTTGAGCAGGTAAGGATGAGGCTGGCCGGAGGTGAAGCCTGGGTCTGGGTGGGGCCCGCTGGTGCTAGAACCCGTGGCTGCAGCTTAGCCAGCCCTGACCTCTCTGGCTGTCCTAGGTGGCCGTGAGCAGCGTCTTCCAGGAGGTGACACTCAGACTGACGATGAGTGAGCCGGAGCGGCAGTGGCTTCTGGAGCAGACCAGCCACGTGCAAGAGCAGCCCTATAGAGATGGGTCCTAGGAGCCCGGCCGACAGCCCTGCACCAGGAAGTGAACGGACCGGCCGGCCCTCTCCAGGCTGGGGCTCTCCTTTCAGGGCCCTTCACATGCAGGGCAGGACTTGGCTTGGCCTCCCCCAGGCTGGCAGTGGGGCTGAGAGACTCCAGGGAGCCCCTCCTCCCGGCCACACCTGACTTAGACTCTGAAAACCTGGGGTGGACGGCATGAATCCATTGGTAGAGGCAGAGCTGGAGATGACGGGGGGTGGGGGTGGGGGGCTGGTGAACAGGCGGACTTCCCTTTTTCTGGACGGCCAGTGGTGCCACTCAGGCTGAGGCCTTGGCTCCAGCACTGCACGGCCAGCTTTCCGTTCCTCACTGCCTGTACGTAGCCTGTGTGGAGGTGAGCTGCCAGGAGGCCACCTGCAGCTTCTGTCCCGTCCAGCATGGGAGCGACAGGGCAGCTCAGTCCTGTCATCCTATGGAAGCGGACTGGCTGGGTGTGGCCTGAGAGGTTAGGAAACGAATGAGGGTGGCCCTGTTGGACAGGAGGCTTGGACGATGGGCGAAAATCCTTGCTCCCCCTTTCTCTTCTTTGGAGCCAGTTTTGAATAAATTAGTTTTGGATCCAGCTCCTTGCGGCTGGACAGCACCCCTCTGCTGAGTTTGAGGCCTCCTGTCCTGCCCTCCACTCCATCCCTCCACTTCTGGGAGCTGCTGCACCTGTCAAGGCCACAAGGGGGCGCCAGAGGTACCGGTTCGGGATGGCGTGGCTGCCTGGCAACCTGTGCTTAACAGAGCTGGGCCAGTCTGGCCACCTCAGAGCAGGGAGGACACCCATTGACTTCTAACTGCTCAGGCCCTCCCTGTCATCATCTGCAGTGGCGTCAAGGAAAGCCAGTCAGGTTTCAAAACACAGTCCTGGAAGAGACTCTGGAGGGCACCTGGGGCATTTTCAAGGGTAAGAAGCAGCCCCAGGCGAGTTCGGGCGACTTGCCTAAGGCCTGAGCTTTGACAGCAGAGCCCGAACTAATGCTGAGGCCTCCCCGTCCCCTTGATCCTGTAAAAATAGAATCTAAAAGATGCCTGAAACCAAGATAGAAACTCCACTTGCTGGGGCCCCCTTTATACCAGCCTCCAGCCCCACATCACTAGTTCCCTGTGAGCCACCTGTCTTCCGCTCAACTAGTCAAAGGTCCCTAGGGTTCCCCACCCAGTAGGTGACCTGCTCACCTGTGGGGTCTCCATCAGGGGTCAAAGCGTAGAGGCGAGGGTGGGGTGGGGGCAGGCCAGGCCAGCTGAGCAGGGCCTGGGGTGATGGGTGTGAAAGGATTTTGGCCCTAAACCCAAACAAGAGGCCAAGTGGCCAGAGTGACTAGCTCTTCTCTCCACAGGCCCCCTCCCTGGTTCACGGTCTCCCTGTTCTCAGTCCCAGGAGCCTGGCTTCAGAGGTTTCCTGGTTGGGCGGAGAGTTGCCTGGGGCCAATTCCCTTCCTTCTCTGAGCACCTGCCCTGGAACCTCCTGGCCCGGCAGCCTCAGCTCTCAGGCCACCTGGCGGACCTCCAGGACGTGGCTGCCAGAGCCAGAGACGTAAAGGACCTGGGTCTCCTGTGGAGGAACAGGGCACTTTGCCCTTGGCAAGTCCGCGCACCCACCTGCCGCATGGCATATCCGGGGCCCGGGGAGGCCGTTTGTTTTCGCCTAGGCCTGGGAACTGCCCTCCAGCCCGGGCCAGGGCCAGATAAGAGCGTATTTGGCGCCAGCTCAGGCCACTCCTGGGAATCCTGCACCCCATGGGCTGAGGGCGGGAGGATGAAAGGCAAGCTTTCACTTTCCCAGTCAGGCCCCAGCGGGTTCACGTCCTGGACTCAGGAAGGCTCGGTCCTCAGCATGTGCTCTGGGCCCCTGGTTCCTGGTACGAACATGCCTGTGCAAGTTGACCACCAGGGGAAGCGCCTGGAACTGGTGGGTGGGGCCAGCGGACAGTTAGAGACAGGCCCACGGCCCTCCCGCTCCCAGGCCTGGGGTGCCCTCCCCTCCCAGCCAGAGGCCACCCTGGGAACACAGGTTTGCCACCTCTCGAGGCCGGGAGGACAGAGCTCTAAAGGAAGACACAGAGGCCGACGCGGTTTGGAGAAACCAGCTGAATTTCTGGTGGAGTTTCCTTACAATGGTGGTGCCTGGCTCAGGGCTGGCCAGGGAGTGGCCAAACCCTCCCCCACCTGCCAGGGTTTCTGTGGTGGGAGTAGAAACAAGAAAGTCTAAGGCTGAGGCCGCTGCTACGTCTTGCATGCAGCAACCTGGAAAATCATGTTAATCAAGAGACAAAAATCCCTCTACTCTGAACTCAAAAAAAAAAAAAAAAAATCCAACGAACAAAAATAAGATACTCAACCCACAGCGCTTGAAATGCTGTGGCCGCTGCAATCCCGGTCCTTGATCAATCAACAGTTCTCTAGAAGAATCACATTTGCCAAGAGGGGGCTGCTGGTGCTGATTTGTTTGCCATTCGGGTCAGTGGGGAGGAGCGGGGGTTGGGTGGGGTGCGGGCCCAGCCCTTCCAGCTTGCTGGGTGGTGCGAGGAGGCTCTCAGAGATTGCTGAAGAGTTCGTTTTTCTTGCTCCAGTCCATCTGCGGGGCCCGTTTGTTGCTGCGCTTCTGGTGGGCCCTCTCTTTGGCCACGGCCAGGGAGATGTTGAAGTCTGGGATGGGGTCGGAGGAGGAGGTAGATGAGGGTGCTGCGGAGTCCTGCTTCTTGGGGCCGTCTTGGGAGTTGAGCTGAAAGAGGAGGGGGAGGCAGAGCGGGAGTCAGTGCCGGGTGAGGCGTCCTGGGCCTCAGCCTTGGAGGTGGCTCCTTGGGGCAGTGCCCAGGGAAGCCAGGTCACAAGAACAGAACGTGGCTCAGCATGTGACCCCGAGGCAGGCTGGTGTGCCAGGCACGACTGTGGCCTGAGAACGGGGTGCCATTAACCCAGTGCCGCCCCTGCCCACCGCCGGCTTACCTCCTCGCTGGTATCACTGGAGGTGGACCGTGCCAGCGCTGGCCTGGGGTTCTCGGAGGCCACCTCGGCCAGGGTTTCATAACTGTTCTCCTGGCAGAGAGAGGACAGGTGTGGGTTGGCGGGGAGTGGGTTGGGGAACAGGTGCCTTGTCTGAGAACCTCCACTTGGGCCCTTGCCATCTACCCGAGCCCACGGCCTGAGCTGCCCGCGGCCCTCAGGGGACTTCCATTGTTACATTCCTCCCAGGACCAGAGGGGAGCCTGGGTGCAGGCTGGGAGACCCTTTGGGGATTAGCTGAACTTCCCATTCCCAGTCCTCCCAGTGAGGCCTTCAGGACGGCCTTGCCTTTTGGGCCAGTGACCAAGGAGAGGTTCCTGGGGCGTGGGGACACTGGGGGCCGACTTGGCGTGGGAAACCCCTGTGATGTTCCCTGAATCTCCTGTTGCCACCTAATTACTTGGACTTGACCCAGGAATCTTAAAACTCACCCCAAAACAGCTAAAAAGGGCTTAGGAGTGAGGAGTAAGGTGCATGAGATTCTGCACCCCAAATGGAGTGACAGGTGGTCCAGGGACACCCCCTGCTGTGTCCCCCAACAGGAGGCCCTGGGCAGGGGAGCCTGAGCAGACCGTGCGGAGAGCCTCGCTCCGTGGTCAGTCCACCCAGAGTGAAGGCCTTGGCCAGGCCTCCAGCTTGGCGCTCAGCCCTGCCATCTCGGCTCCGGCCTCCACTGCCTTCCCTTCCCTTCTGCCTGGAAGAAGGGGGGGCGGGGGGCTTTGTTCTTCCAACCCCGACTGGAAGTAGCCGGGCAGCAGGCGGCCAGACACTGCTGCTCTGTTCCTGGGGGGAAGAATGGCCTCTTCTGTGCGGGGGACTTGGAGGCGGGGCTTGTTACCAGGATGGCGGGGTGCAGGGGGCGTGCCCGGTCTCTCCTTGGTCCCAGGCCGGGGTCGGGGGCACACCGGTAGGTATATAGTGTGGACTCAGGAGGGAGTAGCTCGGAAATGAGTTTCCACCGGGGCCAGCTGGCTGTCCTCCCAACCACACCCCCTTCCACCCTCCTCCCGCAGCCCCAGACTAGGGGCCAGAGAAGCAGTTAGGGGTTCACCTTTACCTTCTGGATCTCCCCATTGGTAAAGGGCTCAGGCAAGGGACCTAGTGAAGGAAAAAGCAGAGGTGAGTCCAGAAGCTCTGGGCACGTGGGCGGGTGGAGCGTGGAGGAGGGAGAGTGTGGGGCTGGGAGAGATCTCGTTCCCTAGTCAGTCTCTTGGGCTGCACCCCACTGTAAGTGCGGCTGCCACTCTGATGGCCCGGCACACACACTGTGCGTGAGTGTAACAAGTTTCATAGCACAGCCTGCTCTTACCGCACCCCGCCTTCCCGCGCGGCCTCACAAAGCTCATGGACGGTTTCTACTCGCTTTCCTGAGGAAGAATGTGCTGGTCGCTGCCTACTAACCCAATCGCACGAGCCCCGATGGAGCATCAGCTGCTGGAGCCAAGCCCTGTCCCGGCTGGGGCTGAGAGGGCTGGCGCCCGTCTAAGAATCACCAGGGAAACTGGTCAGGAGCACAGATTCCTGGGCCCGGCACCGGAGCCTCTGGTCCAGTGGGGCTGAAGCGGCCCGGGAATCGGAATGTTCCAAAGGCTTCCGAGGAGACGGAACTAGAACCACACCCAGCTGCCCCTGCCACAGCCTACTGGCCAGCGTAGAGAGGACAGGAGGGCTCAGGGCAGTGTCCCAGCCAATGGGAACAGGGAGGTGGCCGGAGGGGTCAGAGGGAGGGACGCTGCCTGGGGTCACCCTCACTGGGCTCATCCGGCCAGAGGCCCCACGTGGCTGCAGGGGGAGCTGCTCCATCTCTGGGGACTAGTCAG